AAATACATTTGGAAATATCAATATTAAATACATTTGGAAATATCAATATTAAATACATTTGGAAATATCAATATTAAATACATTTGGAAATATCAATATTAAATACATTTGGAAATATCAGACAAACAGTTTCTCTTCAAATACATCTGGAAATATCAGACAAACAGTTTCTCTTCAAATACATATGGAAATATCAATGTTAAATACATTTGGAAATATCAGACATACAGTTTCTCCTAAAACACACCTGGAAATATCAAACAGTTTCTCCTCAAACACACCTGGAAATATCAAACAGTTTCTCCTCAAACACACCTGGAAATATCAGACAAACAGTTTCTCTTCAAATACATCTGGAAATATCAATCAGTTTATCCTGAAATACATCTTTAAATATCAGACAAACACTTTAGATCACCCACTTTTGCTGACTGATAAATTATTTTATTTCCACCTAAAAACTTTACAATTAATGTAACAAATATGTATATATATTCATAAATATTGAAATGTTACAACTATCAAAAATTTGTTTCTAAATGAATCTTCTCAAAAAGATTAAGATGATTTATTTTTTGTCAATCATTCGAACAAAATAAATTATATTAATATAAAAACGTTTAAGTCAAAGTTCTTAGTTTTGAACAAGTTTATTAATTCAACAAACTAGAAGATTATGTATTTGTTTGATCATCATCTGTGTTAAACAGAGAAGGAAAGTGATGGTTATTACAAGTCCATGAAATAGGCTGAGGATGATACAGTAAACAGATATTGTGTACTATAAAAAAGACGGAGGCTGAAACAACCTCGAAGAATGATATTCAACTTAGCATGGTCCAAGCTTGATTCTGTTACCAGACAGATGAGAACACCTACCATTTGAAGTGGCTGAACTCAACCAAACTGTGCCTCTCCTATAGAGCTAAAAGTGTGAAGCATGTCTAAATCCAAAGACCTTTGGGTTCCTAATTTGACAGACTAATTACCAGGTTATGATCTGGCCAAATATTATTTAGCCTAGCTATATTGCACATTATACATTTTCAATTATTAGTAAATCTAAATGAGGACCTTGCAATTTCAAACGTGTCTTCTTATATTTTATGCACATAAATATATAGAAACATACACATACAAGCAGGCTATAAAATAACAAAATTACAAAAACTCCAGTTTAACACAAAAAATAAAAAATAAAATAAAATACCAAATTTCATTCGAATGTACTCCTGAGGGTCAGCTTTCCATAGATCATCATCTTCATCCGTGTAGCACATCAGTTGGAAGATAATATCTTGAATAATTCCCTATTAAGATATGAAACTTCAAGTATTATCATCATTATTTAGTTGTAAACTCATTTTTTAGAAAATAATTATTATTTTAATAATACAAATTAATTTGCCATTCAATTTTAAAATAATGAAGTTTGCATACCATCATATGAGGCTTGAGAAACTTCCACGAGAAGGCATGGGTGACACTAAACAAAAATAAATCATCTCAAAATAAGTTAAAACATTCTATAAAAACAGTCTCTGTAACTTAAGGTTGAGAAAGCACAGAAAAACATATTAAATTAAACATTAAAATTAAAAAACTTTCTTTAAATAGTCTTAACAGATACTGAAGAGTATAAAAAAGTACGTACTCCAATTTGAGAGTTTGTAAATAGGACTAATTACAATCAGTTTAACTCATCTTTAATCTGTAATTCATGTGTATCATAAAACAGCAACAAATAAAAGGTCACATGTTCTATAGATTTGATTGTTTATTAAACTTTCTTAACAAAGAGCAAAATCAGTTCAGATTTGTATGTACAAAAAAAATTCTGCCAGTGACAAATATCATGCATACAATATACTAAACACATACTAACACACACACACACACACACACACAGAGTCAAAAGTTATGGAGAAAATTCTGGCATCAGTACTAACAAAAACATGAAACTTTCAATAATCAACTACACATATCAAGCTTGATTTCCTGGAATATACCCTGCTGTCAGTAATTGTTACGAAAACATAACAGATACTGAACAAACACTTTTATTAACAGAGACTCGTAAAGCACAGCTTATCATATAATAAACATCTAAACAATCATTTGTTATCTGAAAAACACAAGTGTGTAAAATTACACTTGGGTCATAAAGAAATATGTATCAACTTGGGGTTGCAGGGTCTTCCAGACAGAGACTTGCTACAAGTCATACCACATCAATGGTGAACAAAGTGCATATCTTGTAAAAGGTTAGTGAGTGGCAAAAGCTATCCTCATCCCTCAAGCAACATAACAAAGAAGGATATTTGTCTGGTAATGATGCCAACAAGGTATGGGTTCACCAAGATTATACCTTCCATTCAACAATTGCATAACTAAAGCAGCTAGAGAATAAAATCAGAGGCAATGGATGTTGCACCTCTGAATTTCTATATGATCAAACTGTTTAAACATACTAGGAAACAGTCATCCTCGTATACTAGAAAGCATGCAGGAAAAAGTGGTGTCCTCTGGTCATGCCAATCTTACGACAGAGCATTTTACAATGTAAATTATGCTATCAGGCTACTGTCAAGATACACAGTATCAGGCATGGATTCTGACAATGTTATAAGGATAAATAATAATTTTAATACAATGCAGTCAACCCTGTGTGGCTTTGGCCTAAAAAAAACTCATATAATTTTCTTAAGTATTACTTTTTTATGAAATTTCCAAAATTTCTTTATCAAACACATCTTTTTTAAAAAACATTAAAAACACTTCCATTTCTCATAGAATTTCAACGGGGGAGATGAAAACTTGTATTATGTCCCTCTTTTTCTAAGTAAATAAACTTTATTTTCAAATTCAAAGATTATCTTATTACGAAAACATAACATATATTGAACAAACACCTTTATATAAAGGACAGCTTATCATATAATAAACATCTAAACAATCATTTATCTGAAAAACACAATGAAACAATTTTATGGATTATTTTAAAACCACTGTTGATGTTGTATAGTAGAAGATAGAAAATATAAGTTGAATACCCTATAGCATGGACGTGTCATGTGACATACAAGAGTGAGTATCGAGCAATTGGTTTTAACTTTGTTTTTAATTAAGAAATTAAATCTTATATAAACTTCATTTATTAACTATGTTTCGATGCCAAGATTATTGACATACATTGATAATAACTCTGTAAAAAAAAGTCACGATATGTATATAGGATTAAAATTATGTAGCACTAGAAAGCTGTTACTATTAAAAGCACTTTACAAACTATGGTATAAATGTATAAACTTCTGAAAATTAAGGCTTTAATAAAGACAAAGAAAAATAATGATACTAATGTAGTGACAATTTTTATTTGATCAAGTACATACTTCCAGTGGTTTTTATTCCCCAAAAAATCATATTTTTTTGTTTTTAGCTCTTTATATAATTAATTCGATATTCAGGATTGAAAAAAAGCAGCTACAACTGCTTTGAAAAACTTAACCAAAAATTTAGCTTACTGCTCTAATAAGTAAATCTATGGTGATTTAAAGTAGGAATTTTTGAAAGGCATTTTGAAATTTCTGATTAAGACATTTTAGGACCTAGAGAAACACTGACACTTGCATACAAATGATGAATTACAACTTTAAACACTACACAACTAGTTTCTTCCTCATTATCACATGCAAGAAAATAAAAAAAACTCACGCTTGATTCAAGTAGTTCAAAATTAGCTGGAGAACTCGAGGTGAAACATAAATTTTGTTTCTATATTGGTTCAGCACTTTCAGCAGTACCTCAATAATTCCACCTGAAAAAGCCTTCAAGTAATAATCTGCAAACTCTCTGTAATCTTTAGCTACAGTTTCTGGACTCCCATACCTAAATGAGAAAAAAACAAAACTTTTCATAACACAGCAGTCCTTCATTTATAAACAACAAATGAAGTATATATATGTCTATATTACAACCACTACTGTAGTCATCATACATTTGTATAACAATCTCAACAGGAAAGAAAGTTAAAACTATACACACAAGTTACTCTTCTGTAATGAAGAACTGAATTAGAATTAAACTTATAACCATTAAAACAAAAACACAAACAATATAGGGCTCTTAGCATATTGATTTGAAATGTACATACTGAGTAATTACTAACTAGTAATAGTAAGACCGGAATCATAAATTATCTATTGGACTAAATAATAAATAGAATTTAATAATTGCTAAACAGAATATGACAATAAACTCTTACTGGTTGTTTACTACCTTAATAAAAACTACCAAACAGTTAATATAAAAAACAAACACCATAACTGGAAAATTATAAACTAAATACACTCTCTCAGATATCAATACCATAACTATAAATAAAGAATAGTTACATTTAATAAAACGTTTACTAGAATAGTACTGGATTATAATCGCACATCATGTGCACATACATGAACACTACTTGCTTACATTTATCTATAAATACTTCAATTCAAGCAATGTTTGTGCTATCACTTGGACTTTTACGTCCCAAGCACTTACAAAAAATGGAGTTGCCACATATTACTACACAAAACAAAAGCCATCACAATTTTAAATTTTCTCATCTATTAATTACAAACAGTTATAACCACAACGTTTTCTTAGCTTTTCCTGTTACAAGGTTTTCTTCGTTTGGATAGAAACAGGTAACAGTATGATTGTTTTAGTGTCAAGTTGAAGTAAAATGCAGACAAATTATCTCAATTTTACAGTAAACTATACGATGGTGAATACAATTAAAAGAGCAAGATGAAATTTTTAGTTGGAGCTCTCAAGATAAACAATTTTCTCAGTCACTGATGTTAAAGTTTGAACATTTAAGCATACAGTATGTGTTAACATAAACACAATAAAGGTGCATTAATAATAATGATAGAACAGAAAAATGTTTTGTGTTTGAACAAGTTTTCTAATAATCACCTCAACTGCTTATAAAAAACAATAAAAAAACAAAATAATTGGACTTCACAAACATTAACAAGTCTTAATTAACCAATCTTTTAATTAATGAGAATAATCTTGTGATTATTTACCAGTTAAAGATATGTAATCTCCCAACCCACACACTTGTTTTATTGATTTCCTTTCCAACAGAAGATTAATAGTTTTCACGGTATTTTTTGCACCCAACTAAAGGATGTAGTAACTTTATTAATAATTTTGTTTTGTTATAAAAGCCAGAAAATAAGTTAACAAAAATAAGCTGGGTCAACTGAGAAACCTAAACAACTAAATTCAAAGGCTAACTTTATTTTTTACAAAATTGTGAAAAAAAAAAAGTTTCAAATCAAAGTTAGTTACCTTTCAAAGACCCTAAACAATATGTGCATAGCCCACTTTTTACACTTCCACCATGGCAGATCTGGTTTTTCATCATCATCAATTTGATTTGTAGCCTAGAGAAAACACAACTTCCTTTAAAAAAAACTAAAAAATTCATTTAAAAAATTCTCTGTAGGAAAAAATAAACTATCTCCATGGCCATCAAGGACTACCATTTAGAAAACATGTTGGCTGGTAGAAAACAGTTCATAACTACATTCTCTTTCCAAGCACTAGTGTCAAAAACATCTTGGCCACATGACTAATTTATCTTTATTTGAATTCTCCACAATATACAGTATGATTTCAATGGTAACATTATGCTACAAATATACAGGCAGTGAAACTGTTAAGTAATGGATACAGTCAAACATGGTGGCAATTTGATATTTCCCGAGTTATTATCATGCCCAGTGTTATATTTGAAAGATTAAAATCAGTATAAATTTCAAAAATAAAATTATCTAGAGATCCATGTTCAAAATGCTGTAAACTAACGATCAAAATTCATTTAGTAATGTTACAATCTAAGCAACAATAGCTATTATTATGGCAATATCTGGCTGTGATCAAGATATGAGAATACCAAAGTCCAGAAATACATGATTCTGCATACATAATGCATGACTGGGACTCTGCTAGTAATAAAGAAATCTCCCAAAATTATAAGCCATTGAAACTGGCAATACTAAAAGGCTATTCAACTCTGCATACTGACAATGTAAATAAAACAAGACAAAACAGTGACTATAGTTAACATTCTGCAGTGAGTCAAATAGTAAATTCATTGTAACACAATCTGTGCTAGTTATTTCCATACAGCAAGGTACGAATACAGATTATAATGAGACAATCAACAGGGGAAAAAGTAAATAAACTTAATGACAATTCAGTGTAATATTTATAGTAAACAGTAGGCTTTTCTACTCATCAATCTCTGGCATTAATCACAAGTATTGTAACTGGAAAAGTCTACTGCTAATAGAGATTCTCACAAAATATTGGTTAAAAAGAAAGATGTGATAAAAATTGTAAATGGAAAGTTATTGTATGCTACAACTAAACAGTAGTGTACCACACTAAACAGTAGTGTAGCACAGCGTTATTGTATGCTACAACTAAACAGTAGTGTACCACAGCATTATTCTATACTACAACTAAACAGTAGTGTACCACAGTGTTATTGTATGTTAATTAGGAGGTTATGAAGATTACACAAATGTAATGGGACAACTATCACATGAAGAAAGGTGTATTTAATCTTAAAATCAGTTACTTTGCAAGTTGGATAGTCAACATTTCGAATGATAAAATTCAAGAGGAAATCTTTAATTAGAAAATTTTGTGTATGAAAACCTTGTAATGCTTACTGATAACCCATGACATTTTGTGAAGATACACACAAGTTATAGTATGACTATTTTCATGACTAACTTGGTGGTTACCTACTGGATGCAATACACCTAACCCCATAATAAGAGTTAATATGTAGTTTTTATTTTCCTAGTTTACTTTGAACAGTGGACCTATTAAAGTTCTAAGTGTCCCTCCCAGAAAATCAAGTGAGAAGAAAATACCAGCACACAAAAAACAGACTTAGGATGTAAAATCCATTAAATAAGTTAAAGATCTGTTTATGATCAAAAACAATTTATCTGTTTCATTTTGTTAGCTATACCTCTGGCACGGGTTGGTCCACAATAGCTCGAAAAACTTCCATCCACTGGGCAAAGGACTCTTTGGATATGAGTTCGAGAGGCAGGAAGTACTGGACAAGTGCATGAAAAATCTTTAGTAACTGTTTCTGCAGCAAAACCGATGTTTCTGATTGGTCTGGCAGGAGCTGTACTATTCTTTGATACATCATGGGAAGCAACAGGTTCATAGCCTCGTTTAGTGGGATCCGTTCCTCTGGCTTCTTGTATCTATAAAATAATATCTGCCACTGAAAACTTTCAGTTTCTTATGGTTTTAAAATCAAATGTCAGTTTCCTTCTACAGCAGTTGTATTATCTCATTATAATTATAAGTTGTATTGATACTTAGAAACAAACATTGTTTCAAGCTAGTATACAAATGTACAGACAATAATTAAAGTCTAATTAAAGGTAGAATATGTTTATTCTCTCTCACACACTTCTTTTTTCAGAGTACAAAGTTTTTTCCAACAATCTTTATCTGGTTACTCCTCACTGCCTTATTTCATCTTTAACTCTGTAATAGAACATTACACATTAACCAAAAAAAAACTCACTCAAAATTCTTGACTAGTTGGTGAAGGCAAAGAAGAGATCCCATCCACCCAGAAGTGTCAGGTGACTGAAGATAGATTGAGATTTTATCTACAATTCCTGTCCAGCGATGAGGAAAATCATGTTTCACAATATGGTTCACACACACTGCCAACTGAATTCTGGGAAGGTAATAACAAGAATGAAATCTTTATCTAAACTTACAGTGGTTTACTAACTTACTCCTAATACATAAAAATCCTTTTTACATCAAAAATATTTCAGCTAATGTTTATATTTCTCTTTTTACATGCATGTAAGCATTTTAAAAACATTTCTGAAAGTTGTGGTATGAGATATTTACCATGATGACATGGTTCTTTAAAAATATCAGAAAGAAAACTGTTCATGACAGTCTTCTTTACTATTACAAATAGGACAAATTCTACAATTCTTTATAAAAATAAAATAACACCCATGAAAAAAATTAATCGATAACTTAATTAGAAAAATATTTTTATGTTATGAAAAGACTTTAACCTCAATAGTTCAGGAGCATGAACCACAGCATCAACAATGGCATCTCTAATGGTGGCCCTGTCCTGCTCGTGAAGACTGAATGCCATTAGCTTTCCAGCTTCCTGTTCCTTATCGGCCCAATGTTGGGCAACCAAATTCTTCAGATAAATAACACCTGCCTGTCTAATTGGTATGTCTACATTGTTCATCATGACAACTTGCAGAAGAGACGAACAAAACCCGATGATCTTGTGGGCCTGGAAATTTAAATACATTTATAATAATGCAAAAATGAACATGCCACATTGTATTTTTTTTATGTAAGGTAAAAAAAATACAACTTGGAAAGATTTTTCTTTTATGTAAGAATGAAATTAAACAAGATAAGGAACAAAATATTTCAGAAAACGCTAAGTGATAACACAATCATATCCTTCTGTTGCTACTACACCTTTCTAGTAATGTTTTTGGGGAATTTTTTTTATAAAACAAGCATAGATGACCAAACTTTTAAAACTAAAAACCATCATATATTAAATACATACTCACACATGCACCTTATATTTAACATGAACACGTTCCAATATGGTAGGAAAGAAATAAAAAACATCACAGATGAAGAGAGTTTACTACATACAAGTTCCTTTGTTCATGAGATTGGGAGGATTTTGTAATCTTTTCCTATACCATTTGACAAGATATGTTTCTGTCAGATTTTGAAAATAAAATATACAAGTTCTTTTTGTCATTTGTTGAAATAAATGGCTTTTACTTAT